CACATCTTTTCCAATAGAGGCTATTGATTTTCTGTTGTCCCTTTGTACCAAACATTTGGTAGGATATATGTGGAAGTTGGAACACTCAAATCCACACTCTCCTCTCTATATATTTAAAGACAGATCAATATGAGAATGGATAGGAAGTGAGAAACCATACTGTGTAAGCTGATCACTAGTTTCTGTGACTTTCCTTATTGAAAAAATTCTCCCTCAAGATTAGTCTATTGCCATCAATTAGTATTATATTTTGTATACCTGTAACTATTTCTTCTGTTTCCCCATTCTCTCTCCGAAGCGTAATTTTCCACATGCAAATAAATAGCCTCATTATTGCAAATAAGCAAAAACTGGACTGTGTGAGCATAGACAGCAGCAATAGCAAACATCTTACTTCATTCACAAAAAATACTTCCTGCAAGGAAACACTGGCTCAGCCAGCCCACAGTGCTTTGAAAATGGTCAGGCTCAACCACATAAAAGTTTTGCTGACCACAGCTAATTTCTGCTGGTTGGATGTTATTAAAAATCGCTCTGCTTTGAGCTAAGGAAATTAAGTTTAGGGGATGTTTATCCATAATTTAAGTTAGTTAATAATAGAAAAGTAATATGGAGAGAAATTGACATTCTCCATTTCCATTAAAGTAATAAAAATTGTGATTATAAGCCCACACTTCATCTTAGTAAGAAGATAAAGTTATTAAAGTCAGATCTTGCACTTGCAAGTATTTGTGGTTTAAGGAGAAATACAACAGACATGTAAATGTTATTCAAGATGTCAGATCATTAAAAAGTCATTTGAAAGATCCTGGCAAGACCTTTCTTAGGGCTACCTGCAAGACAGGATACAAAACTAAATGATAGCTCCTCTGATAAAACAAGCCCTATGGAGGCCTTTACAGAACTTCTGATATTTGCTGCTATCACTTTTCTGCCATTTGATGTGCTATCGCTATCTCTTAAAAAAAAAAAAATATGAATGTTATTCTGCCTTTTATCCTGACTAAATAAAATGTTTTATAAATTAGCTTTTAAAAGCCCATTACCTTCATATTTGTTTCTGCTAGCTTATTTAAGTATCATAAATAGCTAACACTCCATTTTAACCCACAACACAAATCAAATACACTATTAAAACAAAATATTGGGCAAGTGCACACAACAATTCACTCAAATTAATTACCTCTGTCTTTTAATAATAAATGTTTAACAACTCTAATGAATGCAGCTCCAACCTAGCTACAAATATGCAGTTAATAATTACTAATAAAAGCTTTATCAACAAATACTTTTCTAAATGTCAGTAACATTTTGTAATATTCACAGATATTTTAAGATATAGATAAGTAGATAGATTTCTTTTCAGGATAACCAGTGCATTATCTCATTCTCTGTGTACCTATACAAAAACAGACAGAAGAGGAAGAATTTAAGATGTCTTATTGTATTGTGAACAGGAAACAATGAGATTTTATCCACACTACTTTTCCTTGACTATGCTGTAGCACCAAAATCAACCATACACCACTGCTTATTGAATCTGAGTGAATGAGGTCTAAACAGCCACTTTAGTTATAGACACAGGAAAAGGATTTGGAAAGCAAAGATGACAAAAAACCAGAAAGCAGTCTTAGATGAAAGAACAGAAATGTCTGGAGCAGAAAAGTGTAAAAGTGAAATTTTCTAAGTTTTTTTTTTCAAGTTCTCAAACAAAAGAGGGAACACATATTGAGGATCAAAATCAGAAAGTCGCTTTCCTGAAGTACGTTATGAACTAAATTAGTACAGCAACATCAGTGTACAGCTCTGTACATCAGCACTTTACACCAGATGTCCCTGTAGACTCACATGAAAACATGCTCATAGCCCGTCTTACCTATGTTCCTCAGTAATCGTGAAGGGTCAGAAGGTAGAGCTGAGATCAACAAAGGTAAACCTGGCAAATTATTTTTTTTAACATACACTTATTTCAATCTCCTGTGCAGTGTAAGCTTCCAAGAACAAAGTAACATACTTCATTGTTTTCAACAAGTCTTTAAATTAGTATAGATAGGATTAGAGTAATTCAAAAATACCACAAGAAGCAGAACATTTTTTTCTTCTTTCTCCTCTTGGAGAAGGAGAGGAAAGAGAATACTGAAATGCAAAGAGGGGATTGATCGGTATTTGAAGAAAAGTCAATTTCAAAAGATTGAATGCCTTTTTACTGAAGGAAAGAATGATTAGGGGGAGAAAGAACTCACAGATTTAAAACAGAATATGCATCTAAGAGATGTCCAGCTAAACTGAGTTAGAAGAAATATAGTAAAATTTCAAGAGCAGAGCAGGATTGTGAAGTAAGAAAATATATGTATTTATGGTAAGCATTAGAAAAGAAATCATCAGAAATCAAAGAGGAAAAAGAGTCATCTTTTACTAGAAGCATATTTATATTTTATGAATATGTAACACTTAATTAGTTTCAAAAGAAACAACACTTAAAACAAATGTCTGAAGAAATAAAGTTCAACAAAGTTGAACCTGATTTCTGAAGAAGAGCATGTCTTGAGACAGTAAGGCTTTTCCACCAACAAGGACTGGTACTTGTCATACCTTGACCTCCTAGAAATTTGATGCCAGCATACAAACAAACAGCTACCTCAAAGTAGAGTTTACCCTGTGTCTTCACAGTGGTGCAAGTTTGGAGAAGAGGACAGTTTACAGTAAATGCACTTCATTTTCCCTGTGGAACCTCTTATTGCATCAGCTTTTCCTATCGCCTGTGTCTGCAGGAGGCAGAAGCTGTTCTCCTGCAAGCTCCCTGGTGACTAAGGAGCAAAGAGCAAGGGCAGAAGGAAGAGTAAGGGTTAAAAGAAGAGGACAGTGTAGCTGAGGAAGTTTTGGGCACAAGATCTTCGATTCATGTTTGGGGAAATGGGCTGTGCAGGAGGAGCAAGAGGGATAGCCTTCAGATGGCTCCCTTGAGTTGGAACAGAAGACATGCTTCCTCTGTCTGCATCGTTACAAGAAATCCTGTGAAAATATAGCTCTGAAACTTGTTTGAGTGTCCACACTGTTTGAAGTTGAACCTGTATTGCCAATGATAATGAATAAACCACAGGAAACTAATAAAGGCTGATAAAAGGTGGGAAGCAGCAACACTGAAAATGAAAATCCATGAAAGATCGCTCCTGCAGCAACACCAATTGATTTCCCTAACAGTGATAACTGCTAATGGAATAGAGAGTGCAATGTGTTGAGAAAGCAGGACTTCAGGCACTAATGTTATAAATACTGAATATAAGGTAAGCCATTATTACAAACTCTAACAATATTAATACCTATCTCTTGTAAGAGATCCATGAGGGAAGCAAAAAAAAAGTCAAGTTTTGTTTCTATTATAACCATTTCCACCTTATATGTTTATAGTTTAAAATTTACACTGGTTGTAACATTTGTCATCCCTACGGATGTTTTAGAGAAACCAGCTAACATCATAATGCAAGGGACGACTTTCTACACTTAAAATTCAAAAAAGTTTACCTCTAAGTATCTACCTCTACATTTGAATTTGCAGAAATAATTTTTCAGCCAACAACAGAAATTTTTCCTTCCCCTTTTAACAGAAAAAATAAGCTAATGAGTTGTTTTCTTCAAAACCATAGGTAAAGACATGCTTGCCTTGGCTTTGTTTTTCATCCTCCAGCCTTTATTTTCTTTTACACATGAACTGTTCCAAAGCAGCTTTCTAGGATGCAAATATGAAACCACCCTTTATATACATCAAAACCTAATGTTTTCACAGTTGCTAAAGGGTTGCATAGTTGGGAATTTTTTAAAATAAAAGCTGCATTTAAAAATATTAAAAATATTTTGGTGCTACGCTGCATGCCTACATGCATTTATAGTAAAATCTAGTCCAGCCTCCCTCCACCGTTAATACCGTATCCATTTGCTCATTTATAAAGTACAAAGAGGTAATTTTAGCTTCATAAATAAACCACCATTGCTGAATGATGAAATCTAAATGTCTAAAGCATCTGTCATGTTGTGTGTGTCTATTACTGATATTTGATTAGAAGTTGTTCAACTACCTATCTTCCCTTTAAATGAGTAACAGGATGAACATCTTAAGATATGCAAGGGATGTGGAAGAAAAATCAGCATGCTGGACAGTTTTACTGTGGAACACCTTGTAGACTTGATTTGATTCACTTCTGTTTCATACTAGTGTAAGTCAGGTTTGACTCAACTTGGAGAATTCACTGACAATGTGAATTATCACGTGAATTTAAAAAAAAAAAAATGCTCCCCCCACATCTGTTCTTTGTTTCAAGATAATCAGACAGTAAGTGTTTTCAGTTTAGAGAAGTCAGCTGGAGCCCTGTGGTGTTTCTGACTTCTTTCCCATCCTTAGTGCTGATGTAATGCATCTTCACTGGGTTTGGTACCTCAAGGTTTTCAAACGAGTATATGTCTAAAGTTCCCCATCCCTTGACGTCTTCATGTTAACTCAAACTCCATTTCCTCTTTAAATAATACAGTAAAAGAATTTCTAAACGTCACTCGTTAAAAAGTGTGCTCAGTTTAACCCTCTGTGAGTATGCTAAACTCAATAATTTCAGGTATCTTAGAGAAGAGAATAAACAAATCTTTTTTCCTTTGACCTTGTATTAAAAAATAATTAACTTAAAAACAGATTATTCACACCTTTTATAACCCAGACCTATCTTCACTCTCACAGCCAAACTATAATCTTGTTAAAATATTAAAAACACTAATAGATCCTAATAGAAAAATACACAAGATCACCGTAACATTAATATAACTTGTCAAATATCAGTTACAGTTCAGACCAACTACTTCACACATACTTATTCATACCGTCAGCACCACTGATTATACAGCAAGGGTTCATACACACATTTCAGATCAATATTAAAGCCCAAGAATAAAACTCTTCCTTGTGCTCAAGTTACAAGGTAGGGGGAAAATAAACCTAAGATACAAAGCTGGCTTACTTCCAGTATGATCAGCACGTAGACACCTACTAAGATGATGGAGGCAATTGTTACTTGTGCCTCTATATTTGCATGAAGGTATTGATGCTTCATGGAGAGAGGAACACTTCTAGGCTCCTGTAGGAAAGCTTGGATGTTTATGAACATGGTGCCTCTGGTGAAAGAAAGAAGGTTTGGTTATTTCTGAAATAAGATATCATTAGTGGATTTTATGCATTAATTCTATATTGAGTACCTATAAAACTACGTATCTGTTAAATGTTTATAACTGCGAGCCACTTTTCAAACATTTTCACTGTATTCCTCTAAATAGCATTGTTTGGAAAGTAACCCAGGTATAAACCAGCCTTCTAAATTCATTTAAAAAACAACAAGAACTTATCCTTTCCTGCCCCTCCGAAACAGGCAGTGATAGATTATTTTTAAAATATTATCTGTCTTTAAAATATTATCTATTCCTTCATAGTCAAGTCTACATAAGCTACTACTTTAACAGATCATTTCTCAGTATCTTATCCAACCTGTTTTGTATCTGAAAAGTTCTAGTTGTGATGATTTGACGATTTCTTCTGGAACTTAAGGGTAGAGACCAGTTGTACACTGCCTGCAAGAGAGTCACATTTGGCAATATTAATAAAAATGAATGAAAGGACCACAAAAATTATCAAAGGACTAGAACATATCTCCTACAAGGACAGGCTGAGAGAGTTGGGGTTATTCAGCCTGGAGAAGAGAAGGTTCTGGGCAGGCCTTATAGTGCCAAGCCAGTACCTGAAGGGGGCCCACAGGAAAGCTGGGGAAGGAGTGTTCACAAGGATGTGTAGTGACAGGGGGAGTGGCAATGGTTTTAAATTAGAGCAGGGTAGATTTAGATTAGATGTTAGAAAAAAGTTCTTTACAATGAGAGCGGTGAAACACTGGCACAGGTTGCCCAGAGAGCTAGTGGAGGCCCCATCCCTGGAAACATTCAAGACCAGGCTTGATGGGGCTCTGGGCAACCTGATCTAGTTCAAGATGTCCCTGCTCACTGCAGGGGTGTTGGATTAGATGACCTTTAATGGTTCCTTCCATCTCAACACATTCCATGATTCTATGAAAGTGGCATGTCTCTAATGTGGGGTTTTATTCCTCTTTGCTCTCTCTCCCGTCCATTTATGAGAACTTTTTATGAAGAGGACATAATGCACACCAGTCTAAATTAATTCCACCTGAAGTACATTTACAGGCACTCAGGCCAAAGCAAACTCATCCTCACTCCCAAGTGAGTGACACCTCCAGGAGGTGCTCCAGAGAGGAACTAACAAATCACATTTTGCCTTGACTGTAAGGAGCATCTAGGGTATTGAGGCTGATATATAGCAATATGGCTCACTCCCAAAGGCCCAGGAGCAATGTCATACCCCTAGATATTATGACAAGGACATGGTAGAATTGTGGTAAATTGTGTTTACTGATCTTCTAGCAGAAAGGAACAAAATTTCAGAAAAATAAACACTTTCTGAAACTTTACTCGTTACTACACATTGATATTCATGCAAGTTTAGCCAAAGACACTCTTTAAATGAATATACATATATTCTCTTTTTTAAAGAGGACAAACTTAAAAAAACTTCAAATTTTATTAACTGTAACCTAAATCCTAAGCCTGTCCTGATCCTGTATGCTACAAAGAGGAAAAAAAGAAAAAAAAAAAAAAAAACCCAGATGAATCAGCCAACTTGGAACATCTGACACAGAGAATTTAACTTGGCTGCCTATTCTTTTGGCCATGTCACATGCTGGTGTTGAGAGGAGAGATGGGCTGCCCCCCAGCAACACAAAGACAGCTTGGGGTCACTGTCAGTAGCACAAGCTACAGCAGCCTCCTCATCACCAGGGTGAGTGGGTTAAGAGAGGAATTGCCCTTATGGTGGTGTTCACCATGCTGAGGTCGTGGGACTCCTCTTTTGCTGTAGACTGTGAGATGGGGTGTAAGAGGGCATTGTGCAGCTGTGCTGTCCCCGGCAGAGGCAGGCCAGCCTGTTGCATACACAGAAAGAGAGGCAGTTGTTTGTATGTCGATGCTATTTATTAAATGATGAAGCTTATTTTTGCTTTTCAGTGACATAGGATGACAGGCTGTAAAAGATGCTCCTTCGCTGAGCTCTCTGGGAGAGAGCAGCAGGAACTTGTTACAAACAACATCAACAATGAGAAGGCCTTAAGAGAAATAAAGCCAATAAATGTGACACGTCTGAGAAAATCATTTGCAAGAAAATGTGAAAATGTAGTTCAGTGAGTGCAAAAAGGCACTTCACACTTGTCCCTGCCTTCCAAGACAACTTTTGAAATGTTGCCAATTTTAAACACATGAACTTCCATGCTAAGTGTCGGTCAAGGGATTTAAGTTCTAGAAAATTTTAATACAGGAACCTAAAGGAAGCCTTGTAAAGACAAAAGAAAATGTAACTTCACATTTATACATTTTCAAACGTTGACATTGAAATACTTCAGGGAAAATCATGACCACTTGATTCACAAAATGGTGACGGAAATACAAGTGCTAAAACATATGTCAGAGAAAGTGATAGAAATTTAAAGACCATCACCTGCTGCTGGCGTCTTCTCCTCGATCCAGCATCTTCAGTCTGGCTGATTTGTACTACAATGTATTCTTCTGTTTGCTGATCAACTACATCTGCTACAAATGGGCCTCCCATGTCTAACTTCAACAGAGCAGAGTCACGAAAATCGGTCAGATTCATAGCTGTTAATAAAGTTGTTAAGGTGTAAATTTCTCTTAAAAATTAGTATAGGTTGTACAAATCCCAGAAAAATATAGATTAGTTATATCGAAAAACACATTCTTCAGCTAAAATGCTTAAGAAACTTGAAAATTGATGTCTACTTCCTCACCAAATACAACTGTTTTGCCCATGTTTACAAGGAAACAGAAGCTACGGTTTCAGGACAAATACATCTGTCCTTTTGTAGTGACTTTTGAGACCACCAGGGCTTCCAGCTGACACTGTAGATGTACCAAAGCTTCAAACTGGCATATGGAAATACAAAAGGAGACAGAGGTAAGGCTTTTTAAGTGCTTACATTAGATGAAAAGCTGCATGACCAGCAAAGCAATCTAAACATCACAGAATTTGTACTGGGGAAAACACTGTGGTAGCTCCAACCACAGGAAAAACTAAACCAAAAACCAATGTCTTATTTATGCCAGAGGATTCACTTTACGGCCAAATTTTACTCGCAATTCTCCAGACATCTGAAAGGCATATTTTCAAGCCCCTCTCCATTGAACCAGCTCCCTCAGCTACTTTTCTTTCTCTTTTGGATATGTAGTATGAGGTGTGGTCAAACTACATTCCTATTCTAATATAATAGAGAATTTAGCCAACCATGAACCACAAATCCATTGGAAGTCTGGATCTATCAGTCCAAATACATTTAGGACTATTTAAACATAGCATTGTGATAGTCTACTTCTGGCATGGTTGAGAAAGAAGCATCCCTGTGTGTTGGGGAAGAGGGAAACCATTAGATTTTAAACATTTTACAGACTGTTTGTTACTGTAATAGAGTGATACTGTAATTGTTTTGCTCTATGACCAGATAGAAAGCTAAGACATCACAAAAAAAAAAATCCTAAGGGAAGAGAAGATACTTGATTTAATACTTATATGTTCTCTTGATTTAATCATGTGTTTGGCTATTTTAACAGTTTTAACATCTGGCATAATGTACGATATCATATACCTACTAGAAGAGTTTTCTTAGAAAGACGTCTTGTTGCCCACAGAACTGAGAGATTTTAACAGGAAAAGAAAAAACACAATATAGTTAGAGGGGACTCAGGGCAGTGCTGTGCCCTGCTTGCCAATGAGCCCCAGTAAGGTCATCCACAGTAGACTAGTCTCTATTGGGGAAGGCTTTGTGGTATTGCGTAGGGGTCCTTCATCTCTAAAAGGGTTTTGCCATCTGTCCACACTCCTGGTAGGAGAACTGGATCTAGAAAAGAGATGTCTCTTGCACTAATCCAAAAAAGGCCCTGGCAGATCTAGTGGCAGGCAAGGAGCCAGTGTAATATAAATGTAGTATAAATGTCACCATGATTAGGATGGCTAGCAGAGCAATCACTGCCAGTGTCACTCACATGCTGTTCATTAAGAATGAACCTCCCAACCACCTACTTGCTTAAAGGAATTACAAAGGAAAGGATAAAAAAATAACCTCAGATATATCAAATCAGGAGACTAACTCCAGTCAGGAGAATTTATACACACAGCCCTAAGCCAGCGTAGATAAAAATGACAAGAGTTGTCTTCAGTTTCTGAAAGTTTTAAGAATGATTTGGCATCATGGTTTTTCTGTGTCCTAAATAATACAAAATAATAGCCACAACTGGAACTATAGCTATAGATTTAACTGGAGACATTAATTATACCTTCTAAAAGGCCTGATGACCTGAAGTCGTTAACCCAACGATTTGGGACACATCTTGACAGTCTCCCTTTTTTTTTAGGAGTGTAGCCAGTAATTTATTACTTTAAAAATCTTCAGGTGCATATAATTATGGCAGCTTCCTTTTAAGCAATACTTTTAAATCATGGAATTACCTAGATGACACATTTAGGAGCTATTGTAAAGAATGCTTAAGATTAAAAGGGGGGAAAAATTAAACCTTATTTTCAAAAAGAGTCATTTCTTCCTTCTTTTTCTATAAAGATGAGGATGCTTAGGAAGTTTTTATATTCTCTTCTGTGCATTTACAAAACCATTAGAAAGAGGTCTGGCAAAACAGGTTCTCCTTTGATTGCGAGTGGGACTGAGCATCATTCACTCGTCTGCACTGAGGCTCTGAAATCCCATTAGAGTTATCTTTATCCAAACAATATTTAGAGACTGTCATAATTTCATTGTTAGGCTGCAACAGATCACAGCTGTTATGAAAGGCAGAATCAAAATAAACCAGGAGAAAATTTCAGCTATGCTTATATGAATCAAAATGCAATTTTTTATGAAGCTGCTCTTCAGAATATTTTCGTTCTGCCCTATCTTGCTTTTGTATTTCCCTTAAATTGCCAAAATGTGATTTCCTCTATATTTTAATCATTCAGGTTTGTGTAACTTTTGGCAAAAGTAGATTTTTACTTCTAACATCCTCTTTTATTTTGCAGCTTAACCATGCTAGGACTTTCTGTCTTGTCCAAACTTTTATTGTAATGTGGTTTCCAGCGTGTGCCTTTAAAGCACAAAAAAAATCTCCCTGACAAGATTTACAGCCAGAACTGATATTTTTTATTTCATTTCATCTAAGTTACCTCATTTTTATGTAGTTCCATTCTTGAAATTATATTACTGCTGTGAATTATCCTGTCAAGGGATTTGGGTTTGTCTGTTCTTTGTGCATCATTACACAGTGGCTGTCTGTATTTATGTCTGGCACAAGATTGGGTCCACTGTCCAGAGTTAAATCAAGAGCTGTTTGTCTCTGATCTAGGTTTTCTAACTAGCTGCTCCTCGAAGCATAGAATCATAGAATGGTTTAGGTTGGAAGGGATCTTAAAGTTCATCTAGTTCCAACCCCCCGTCATAGGCAGGGACACCTCCCACCAGACCAGGTTGTTCTGAGACCCATCCAGCCTGGCCTTGAACACTTCCAAGGAAGGGGCTACCTCAGCTTTTCTGGGCAACCTCTTCCAATGTCTCACCACTTTCACAGAAAAGATTTTCTTCCTAATATTTAATCTAAATCTAATCTAAAAGGTATTGAAAGATGTGCAAGAGTCACCTCCTCACTTTACTTTTTTGTAGCTGATGTAGACAACATTGTGGAATGGGATGCAGTGGCTAAACGTTTAAAGTGGTCTTCATTCTCTGCAGTTCATACATCTGCAACTGACATGGTTAATCCATTACAATCAGTGAAAAGAGGGTGCATTCAACATGGAATTCATTGCTTCATTTTAGGCCACCACCATGTAAGGTGAGAGAAATCAGTCATGAGAAACATCATTTCTCTCTGTTAACTATGAAGACAGCCTAGGATGACTAATTCAGGTGTAGCTGAGATGAGTCACTCCCTAAATACTGAGTTCCTGCTCTATTCTCCATCATACCTTTAACTCAGTATGTGCAGAGATAGCTGAGGAGCCATGATTGACAGAGATTCTCTGTTATAGTTGCATGCAGATGGATGGTTTAATTCTTTCTTTAACATCTACTTGTATCACGTACTCTGCCTACAGTAAAACATACCTTGGGAATACTGTATCTATTGATTGTTTTTCACCAAGTTTCTTCATATACTGCTGAAGCTAATTTATCTACAGGTCACTGATGCTGGTTTCTCTAGGATATTACCATTTTAAACAAGGCATTTTTGGGTGGTCTTAGTATCTATTTTCACATGTTGTCCTTAACTAGGGTTATTTCTGCTTCACTCTTTGCATTTTCCTCTTTAGATGTCCTATCTCTGATTGTAGCTTATGAGGTTGCTTTTACATCATCCTTTCACAATGTGCCAGGTTCCACGACATACTTTTCTATACCTATTGGTTTTCCCATTGGAAGCATGCCCCACACCTTTGTTTTTCCCTTTTTTGGAGTGTCAACAATCTGGTTCCATTTTTGTCTACATTGGATTCATCTTTTCTCTCTGTACTACATCAGTTCTAGGAGTTTTGTGAGTCCTTAATAAACTGTCTTTTCTATAGCTTGTTCTCAATGACGCCTTGAGATTCTGCTTCTTTGCCAGCCTCTACACGTGGTCCTGGTCTTCATCCATCTACTTAGCAGCTTGAACATCGCCTGCAGGCCAAAATGCTTAGTACATTTCCAACAGAATCAACAAACAGAAATTATTTTTAAATGTGTTTTGCAAGGAAAAATTATGGAGGAGTGTCTGTCAGCAGAGAATTAGAGTTACAAAATGAATTTTAAAGAAAGTCAAAGAGGATAAAGAACTAAAGGGATTAGAAAGATTATTTTATTTATTAAGTTAATATTTGTTCTCTGGGAGAAGAAGCTATTTTTCAGACCTCCATGGAAACCAAAAATCTACTAAATTTTGACTATATTCTTTGTCTCTTTGTCTTTATTTCTTTATATACGTCTGGTTAAGAGAGTGGGAAAGGTGACTTTCAGGGTCACAAATGGTCACAGCATGATTATGAGTTTTCTTGGTGACCTTTTTTTACTTCATGGTTAACATAGCTGCACCAATCTCGTCAAATTTCAGCAAGGAATCTGATAATAAGGTGAGATATCTACCCTATGATGTAAATTTCAACATATTATTGCTACTGAGAAAAATCTACTTTCTGAATTTGAGATCTTAATCTTGGACTGGATGTGATGACATCTCTCAGAGCTACTGAGGAGGGAGGTAAGTTAGTGAAAATGGCCACTGACTAGTCAGTTTGATATCTCTGGTTTTGTCCAATTTGGACTGACCAGGGACCTGTAGAACCATGACTTGACATTATGTTTTGTTTTGCACATATGTATTTTCATTAAATTTTGTTTTGCATGTAGAGCAAGAGAGTCATAAAACCTTCACACTGGGTGCTGTGCCAACATACACCTTGCAAAATGTTAGCCTTTGCTCCAAAACTTTTACTGAGGAGATATCAAAGGTTTAAAGCAAACGAACAGATCAGGACTGAAAGGCTTTAAAATATATTTATAAAAATTCAGGGTCCTTGGCCAGACTCATGAAGAAATCACAATCCACTCCCCAGTTATTATCAGGTTTCAGGTCCAAGAGAAGGAAGTTCTGACAATCAGTCTGAAAAAAGAAAATTAAATTGCCTCACCTAGACCGATGTATCTATAACAGGAGCTAGCAGGAGCACAGAGGTTGAAAAGGAAGCAAACAAGATTGTTTCTGAAATACTTTTAAGGGATAGAGTAAAGATGGAAATTCACAGCTCAGTGAAGTAGGTATGAGACTCATCGCACAAAAAATGTGCTGGAAGAAGATTTGCCTTTTCTTGTTAAAACAAATTATTTCTACTATTGAGAAGTGTAGAAACAGCAATAATTTTATCAGGTACAGTGAAAGAAAGCACTACCAGGGAGACAGTCACTTCTTTAAAAGACAGTGAGGTACAGTTTGATCGAGTAATTCCTTCACAGCATCCAGGAACCCCCACAACTTTTGGATTTTGTAAAGCTTAGTTCAAATCAATGAGTTAGTGCACAGTTCTTCTCCAGCTGTCTGATCCACATTGTTGGATTCAAAAATAGAATTCTGCTTAGGTCAAGGCAGAAGTTTGTAGAAACAAAGGAAAAAAAACATGAAATATATTTAGCATTTCAGAAGATTCCTTGAGTCTAAAAACCTGTGTAAACTGTGGAGAAGAACAAGGCTATTTCTCATTCACTCTTTAGTCAACCAGTTAACAGAACGAAGTTACCTAAAGGTTTGAATGGCCAACGGTTAGAGAAAATAAAAATCGTCATGTCTTAGATTAGGTACATGTTCCTAAACTAAGAAACACTGGAATTTATTCAGATTCTATATCTTTTATTCTATTTTTGTAATCTTTTTCCAAAGGCACATCATCTTACTAATTATTGATGCTCCCCACTTTACATACAGCCTTTGAGCAAAAGATCTGAAAATGTGTCACACATTTACATCAGCTGGTGTATTGAATCTTCCTTCCTGCAGAGAAGGGTCCTCATGCCAGGCTTCAGTATAAACTTATTTCTTTTTGGTGTTAGAGAGGTTAGAGAGTGTTAGATTGTTAGAATTTATAAGCCAGTAAATACCAACTGTTGTCAAAAAGGAACCATATTACCGCTATTTTGAAAAGCTATACTAAATTCATTGAATTTGTATCTGATTACAATAGGGACATCCATACTAAAAATCAACCAACCAACCAGACCTTATAGACTCACAAAGGTTCTATTAATTTACAAGAGGCAAGGTGCTGTTTTCAGAAACTGCAGCCGGCACACTCCCATGCTACATGCCAGGCTTGTACCCGTGGTGATGGGTAGAGCAAGAGGAGATACAAGTGGGCTAATAAAAAAGGAGAGAATGGGAAGAAAAACAGCTAGAGTAAATTCAAACAAGATATAACAGACACATAAACAACTGGGAACTAGATCAAGTGGTAAAGTGCTAAAGAGATGTCATATGAAAAGTAGGTCACTCCCACAACAGCTGATGCAGACCTATCCCAGCATCAGAAACAGAAAGTCTTGTCTCTGAACAAGCTTGAGATCTAATGGGCATGGCAGAAAACACACGAATACATGACACCAGGATGGCAAAGGATAAGGTCCAAAGGAGATCACTCAATTCAGGTTTTAAAATTATTTCAAACTTAGTTTTGATTTTTCTAGCGTATGCAGACACATTGTATGCATGAGCACACATCAGTAACACACACATCAACGTGCATGGGCATTTCTGGAAAGTAATAGAAATCAAAGGAAGGAATTTTAAAAACCAAATACATAGTGGTTAGTACCCAATTAACACTTGTTAATAGCTTTTGAGGCATAAGCAAGAGGTAAAGAGTATGCATTTGCATAATTTAGTATCATATCAGCTTAGAGACTCATTTTCCCCCCAAAGCAGTCTCATATAATAATGTCTAATGATTTTGTGACAAGGACTACTGCAGCACACCTGCCAGCCAACCATGAAATTCTTGTAGACGTTCAGAGAGTAGTGGCCAATGCCCACAGGGAACATTGTAGTCTGTCAGCCAACGTAAATCCTTTCTTCAACACTGCTGTGTGAATGGTTAATGTTATCCCAGCCTAGCCAAAAAGGTGAATATTTTCTTCACTATGCAACGAAGTGGAGGAGAACCACATGAGCTTACTTCTGTGCAAATGAAGACTGACAGAAACGATGAAATGACATTCAGAATTGCTTGTGACTTTTCCAAACATCACTAAGAAACGTAATCTTTCTCCTTTGACCCTTCTGCTTGAATTACCACATCATCTCAAAAATGAAGCACAGATTTGCTAGATTGCTTTTCCCTCACATATTTTTCCCCAGCTCAGTGACCTCAGCTAGGGGACAGAATATCCAGTTTTCAACACACTTGACACAAACTAAGAAGCCTCGTCTCCGGGTTTCTCAAGTAAGAAAGGGAAATGCTATATTTTGACTGACAGCTCTTTGGCTCAAAGCATCCTGATGTGATAGGTAAAATGTGAAATACAGGAACACCTGTTTGTACTCAAATCCCAGTACCATCAACACTTCCCTGAAAGAAACAAAAGGAATAACTGGTTGCAAAGTCAATGTGTACAATGCAGCAGCTATGGTTCCAACCCAAAATCTGTGGAGAGAGAGGAAATCCTCAAACTATGCTATGACAGTTGTCTAAAACTTGAACTTAAAGCCTTGCTGGCAGTATGACCTCATTTGGAAGACTGGGTCATGACTGGTGCTGTTCAACTCCACACATATATAGGAGCTTTCAAAGAGAGTTTCAAGGAAGATAAAAACACTGATTTGAACAGGATATTGATGGGAGTTTACAGTTGAAGTTGTCACAGGTCCTACTAAATGTTCACTTGCTTTCTTCCAAAACACAATCTCAACTTTTATAAATAAAGTGCCTTCAACACTAACCTCTTCTTCCTTGTTTACCCTACTAATTATTGAGTTATAATGTGACATTATTGGTGAAGTGAGGTTACTAATAAACAAAACTATTTAAAAAGGACTCTTCCTGTTCAAAGCTCTGGAATTGCTCAGGTAAATAGCAAAAAATCAGCGTTTCAGAAACTAAATCCTACCACACCTTTTCAAAACAAGACACCTCCCAGGAGCTTGTGAAATATATCTACATGTGAATCATCTTTTAACATTAGTGAAATAGGAGCCAAGTAGATTGTGAATCAGACTGATTAAACTAGAAATATAGCAGGAACAAGAAATGTAGTTTATTTGCAAAAGTTTTTGTTTGTTCACTAACTGAAAAGTTCACCAACTCAAAGACTTCACATTCAAGGCTACATTCACTTGCGATGATTCATTTTTATTTTGCGTTATTCTATCTCTTGTTCTTTTGAAGAGTTTCTTGGCAATCTGTGGGCTTAAATTCACTACTGAGCAATTTGGCGTGGAAAATTTTAAAGGAATCTGCACCTTCACTGAAAAAGATCTACAAATTCACACATATGGCTGGGCTAAGGTGTTCTGGAAACATAACCACAAATTATCTAGTTTTCAGCTTTCGAAGGAGTTCACTGGACAACATCAGGATCCCAGTATACACTACACGTGTTACAGATGACAGTATGTATCTGATCTGGGGTGCAGCCGCTGCAGCCAGGTGCACGTCCTAACCATGGTCCCAGCTATTTGCCGGGCCTCGATCCCACTGGGTCCGTAACCCATTTCCACACTCTTGGCTTCATGCAGAGGCTGGATACAAGGACTGAATGGGCACCACAAGGCACCCCGAGGTAGGTGCCACTCAGTATGACTTGGATAGGGAAGACAGCTGTGGTCTGTGTCAAAGGACAAGCCTAATTGTAGCTCAGGCTCTGAGGACACCCAGACCTCTCAGGGTATAAGACAGAAAACACCCACCCATTCAACTAATTTATCAAGGAAACTTCAGTTCAGGTGTTGAGTTTTTTTCAATGAAAGGATACAGAAGCTTTCCTGAGGTGATATAGCCAACATCTGCCAGGGCACACCTTGATCTGGATAAATGCCAAATAAAATCTAGGGCAAGGATAAAAAACAAACATTCTTTAATAACACAAAAACTGAAAACACCTGCTCAGCCTACCTCAAATACTTAAACAAGGCTCTTTCAAACTGTACATTAAATTGTAAGAATTGCTTTCAGTATTTTAAGGTATGTTTCCAGCACAGTTGAAAAGCAGCCCTGGGATACTTAGCAAGGATGAGTAATATTCTGTCCGTAAATATACTGCCAAAGCAATATATTCAATGTATTTTATCCAAGTGTCTCCTAGGACAAAGTTGTAATAAGGATCTGTATGGAAAGCACATCTGGGGAAATACAGTGTCATCTAGTGGCCCCACTAGCTGAAAGGGTAAGCTCACAACTTTTTGAAATGTTTCTCAAGTCTTGCAGACTAAGATTCTGCTGCTTGTGAAGATTTTGGCAGAGGAAGGCAGCACTCTGGCATCTCCAATAGGGAACTGCCTATCCCCTCATCATCATCTGATTTTTACACTGCGGAGAACTGCCATTGCTAGTGCATCCTCCCCAACATGGTTTCTCCAAGGAGCATTCCTCAGGTGTTAGCCAGCATCTAAAGCCACATCCTAAATTCAACAATTGTAAAGGACACAAAAATTTAAGCTGCCTCCTCAAACTCAGCTGCTTGCCCTGCCACACGTTCCAGAGCGGTGGTGCCTAGTGCGCCAAGCAGTGGTCTGATTAGGCAGGAAGCCCTGCACAGCGTTATTTTGCCATCTTGTCCCCATCCTAAAGACAATTTTTTTATTAGCCGAGACCAAATATCGCACTTCATTTTGAACTAAATCTAAGGAAATAGGAGCCAGGCAAGGACTGTAAATTCAATACTTACAGAGCAGACAACTACAAAGATAAAAAGGCCTGAAACTTTTAGGAATTTTAGACAGCATCTGAAATACAAGAAACAAGTATTTACTATACGGCTAGTTTAAAGTAATTTTTTTCTGTTCTTTTAATCGCTCTGAGATTTCAGAAGCATCTTGGTAAGCATTTATAAGTGATAATATATCATGTCAAGACTATGGACACCACAACGCTGGGTGGGCAGGAGCATGGGAAATCTCAGTGCCCATAAGGGCTCCTGCCCCAAGTCTGCTGCCAGCTGGGTCTCATTCCACAGGAAAGAGGTTCTTCCTCTTGGGAAAGCCAAGGGAAGGCAGCAGCATGAGCAGGTGCTCGGACCTGGAGCCACTTCTCTGCTGCTACTGCAGGTTCCCAACAGACCCAGAGCCCCATCAGCTCAAGCTGGCAAAGGAGCACTGCCGCCCCAGCAGACAGTACAGCTTGTGAGGCAGTTTAAAGACAAGAACAAGCTTCAAGAACATCCTGGTTTTAGTAATGTCTCTTTAAACCAAATACTCTTTATGAGTATCTCTAGCAAAACTAGATATTTTCTCCATAGGTCATCTGTGCCCTTTGAAGGAATGCCCCGTTGTGGAAATGTGATGCCTTCAAATCTTCTGAAGTGTCAGAGCTTATTGCTGAGTGGGTTAAGTGAGAATAACTTAAATTAAAACATGGATGTTGAAAACGCATGATCTTGAGTAAGAAATCTTAAGATTTAGCACTTTTAAATTACCATTTTTAATCTTACCATAAAAGTCAATTCTTAACTAATTAGTTTCTGGCTGCCCAGCAGTATGTTATACAGATGTCTTAATTTACAGAACTCCTTTCGGTGATTTGTCCTGATTACATCTTTTCATTAATTGAAGCCAATAACAGTCTTATTTCACTTTTTCAAAAGTAAATATTCAATATTGCTGTTCTGACAGAATGACAAATTTAAGGTTTGATTTAAGCCTGATGACAAGCAAGAAGAAAAACATTTCAAGTTACTAGGATAATTAGTTGAGAAAGAAACAGTGTAACAAATAGCTGCGTTGACAGATGCTATAGAAAAAAAAATGTTAAAACAGAGTAGCCTGAAGAGAGTCAGAAATAATTTTTAATCACAGTGGAAATAAGTCCCTAAATCAAGTTCATTGACTGGAAGCAGCATAAGGGACTGAAGACTCATTTTTGGAAAACATGATTTTCTAAAGATCCCTTCCTCTCTAGAATTCTCCAGAGAGGCAGGAAAGAATCCAGCAGCTAATAAAAATGCATTGCCACAAACTGGTACAAAGGGGCTACCATATCCCATGAAGTACAAGTGGTAGCAAATTTATACAAACTTTACACAACATAAAGATCTAGAGAAGGCAAAGAAGAGGAGAAGTCAGTTAGGAGGTTTCTTCCAGAAACATCAAGTAGCCCCTCTCTACCGAAAAAAGTTGCAGAGAAGGGGAAGAAAATAATAAAGGCTTGAAAAGAGAGGAATGACAACAAAGCTATTATCAGCACCTCAAAACTGATAACTTCTTTTGGTATTACGTGATTTATGGAAAATACCTAGTGCCATCTTAGTCACATATCCTCTATCTTGTTTGTTTATTCTGACCATCTCTAAAATACAGTTCTATTCTGGTATTTTTGAAAATATATTTGTTATGAATTAGTAAAGCCCAGTCTAGATTGGTTTAGTTTTAATTATATTTTCTGTTTGCAATTTGAAATTATCATTTCTAATAATAATAACTTTAATTATTATTGAAACAAGAAGCAGCAATAACTTGACTTTTAAGGCGTAAGAAAAACTAAAAAGCATTAATTAAGCTTTTACAAATTCATAACCACTTGACTGTAAATAACAGAAACTCATCTAAAGGAGCTGGCAAGATACAATAAAAAAGCTTTTTGACATGATTATTTTATACAATGTAGAATTGAAAAGGCTCTTTTCCTCCCGTCTGTTTGTTTTCATGACATTTTGTATTAGGGAAGCAGTGCTTTTAACAGCTTACAGTTGAGAAATGATCAGCCTTTGACTGGCCCGGGGTTTGCAATCTGTCTCTTCCGACAGCTCTAATCTGGCACAGGGATGCAAGTACAAACCCTGTGCCAAATCCTGTGCAGATGTCTGCCTCCAGCGCAATCCTGTTTGACTTCGGTTGGAAACATATGAAGTATCAGTCTATGGAGGATTTCACCCCTTGCTCTAAACAAAATGATTTTCTGGCTGATCTGCACGTGGTGTCGGGCAGTTTAGCTCCATTTATTACCTCAGCAGACTCATGCTGATTAACAACAGCCAAGGAGCTGGCCCCATATGTACAACCTGCGCTAGAGAAATGGAAATATTTCACAGGAAATTCTGCCATGAAAACATACTATTCCCCAGATTACAACGCTATGCTGTACTGGAAACAATGGGATCTACTCTCCCTCTTGATGCCTTTGTTCCGTCAAATACCAGGGGAAGCTCCCACGAGCGTGAAGCAAGCATGCCAATCTTCTTCATATCTGCTCGTATTGCACTAATTGCAGCCATTGAAATTTTCCTGCTCCATTTGTTGGGCAGCAGTGCAGGAGAGTGGCACTCCACACAATACCATATGCCCAATGAAAGGACGAAAACAATGGTGAGGTGATGAGCTAAGACAACACACAGACTGGGAAAGGATGCACGGACATCTCGTTGGAAAAGCTCCGCGGATCAACATGGAGATGCGGGCATGCCGTGCTGGGCTCCATGCACATCTGCAGAGCTATTTGCAGAGGGCAAACCAAACTAGGAGGAAGAGTGGAAACTCCAGAAGGGGCAGAGAGACTTAGCATCCAAGATTAAAGGGTTTGTTAGTTAAATCTCAGGCAAAAAATATCCTGAGAAAATTTGATCTTAAGCTGTTATCATATTGGTACCTTTTAATGTACTAACAGATTCAATTTCCTCCATGCCTAAATGAAGTAAAAGACTACTTGGAAGTAAAGAGTGAAATACATTAATGTACTTAAAGACAGAAAAATGCTCAGTCAAATTTTGCATTGTGTAAATGTGAAAAGCTGCTATAATAATTTCAGAAGGACTGTGTTAGATAAATACTTGAACTAAGATGTATTTCATAAAAGCAATAAAACACTGGTGAATAAAGCTGTAGAATCAGCTAAGGGGCTTTTAAGAAATTATTTCAAAGAAATGTTAAAAGCAACATAGAAGATATTTAATTACAAATTTAGAATAGGTGCTATGATCAATGTTTGTAAAAACAAAGGGCTATTGATCATTAGGTAGAGACTGCAATCAATTTCGCCAAGCTCTATTTAGAAAACATCAGTGGCAAGATACTGCCTAGATATGGGGCATTATTTCATTCTTTTGCAGAAAATAAGAAATTCTCTGAACATCTATACTTAAAAAGTAATCCCCGCAGAAAATAAATTAAAAAATAACGAATGGAAAAATAAATAAACTTATGTTTGAATTCAGACCTCATCTTTGATAAATTGAACTTGACATGAAGGTTGTCCAAGATTTCGTATTTCTCAGAAGAAGCAGATCTGGAAAAACTCGTGATTTCACCTCCCAGTTGAAACCTTTGCTCAAATTCTGCAGAGCTGTTGTCCCATGAATCATCATCTGTGGTAAAATCTGGATTATGAAGAGCGATGCACTGCAACCTGTCACACATTTCCAGTAAACATAATAAAATAAAACAGTGGTTTATTTCAACAGGTAGTAGATTGAACTGACCTTACATATCCTTAGACTCACTGCGAAAGGTTTTAATGGAAAAATGCTTGGAAAGAGATTTATTTAGTACAGACTGAGCTCCCCTTGGTGACACAACTGTGTAGACTGGAGAGTAAGAACAGAGACCCCTTGACCAGCTCTCTGATGCGCCAGGCAGATGGACCTCAGGATTTAGTGTTTAAACCTTCTAAAAAGACCCTTTGTATGGCTCTTCTGTGTTTTTCAGTGCACCTGATATAACACCAAGGAAATCAGAGTACATAACCTGCAGTCGCCTATTCCTAGGGCTCTCTAATCACCCCAGCCTCAGACCTTATATATTTCCTTTCCCCATTTCAGCCCTTTCTTTCCACTCAAGGTCCTCCAGAGTAATTCTCTGCTCACAACCCCTGTCATTCACTTTATTTCCCAGCAGGTTTGGTGTCAGGATATAAGAAAGCGCCATGCACAGTTAAATGGAAGAGCGCTTAGGGAAAAAAATATTTTGAGTAAAATGAAAGTAACTTACCCATTTTCCTCTGGGGAAACCTTCAGTAATGGTGTCTTCTCTGTAAAGCCAGTGTTTTTTGACCTTGAGCTGAATAATTTGGAAAAGTTGAAGTGATATCTTTGGAGATAAAAAAAAAAAAAACAAAAAAAAACCAAAAAAGTAAGTCTGCAATGCAATGATTCACTACAGTTCCACAGAACATTTTGCTACAAATGCATCTAACTAGTTAAATATTCTTTAAGAATGGTGTTCACCAAAATTGAAGTTTTCATTAAGTTTGAACTACTCATAGTAGTTACTTCCTTACAGCCATGGAAGACTCTACTACATAAAATAAGAGAAATCTGTCTAAAAACATCTAAAATCATCAATTAAATACCCTCTGAATGCCAAGAAAGAAAAGACACCTAACTCATACTCACATGCTTCTATTTTGGACACCTAAATTTACAGTGGAACCACTGCAATGGGATATCAGTGAATCAAAATTCTTAAGGTAAATAATTACATATAGTCATGTAAGTTCACAGCAATACACTTCATAAAGCAGAAAATCAAAGGATAATTTCTGTCCTGTAAATGTAATCTGAGACATAAATCACCAGAAATCTACTAATCTCTACCACAAGCTCAGCACTCTTTGCATTGGGGAAGAAAGCTTTATCTGAAGAACAAGTACTTCGTTCCTGCAGTGCAATTCCTTCCAAATAGTTTCTGTCAAGTCTTGATCCTGTTGCTGCAGATAATTAACAGAGAGTAAGCTACTTCTTGTCATATTGAACCTCAGCATTGCTAAGAAGGCTTTTGTTAAAATATAGATCCCAAGTCTTAAGAAACAGCTGAAAAAAATCAAGCACAATCACAGGGGTCTTGCTTTGGGGCAGGCTTCTGGGAGAAATTAAATAATTGAGCAATTTTAGAACACTCTCCAAGACCCAGCACTTTGAGAGACGTTTTCTATCAAAACCACCATTACTGAGACACATTCAGTTTTATTCCATTCAAAACTGAAGCCACTCACTACCAGAAAGTCCTGAAGAAATCTGCTAGCCATGCCGATCTCATTACTTCCTCAGACATTTAGTGGAAAACTAAAATGTCTTCTACTATTGCTGGACCATGAGGGGAAAGAAATTATAAAATCATACACAACAAAATAAATTTACAAAGGTCACTGGTAATTCAATCTTCCAAACATAACATCAGTCCAAAAAGAAGGATCTGTGTATTTAACTTTATAACACAATGGAAGACAGTGGAATTTCTTACAATTTCTAGAAGTATGTGTGAATTCAGACTTCGTAAAATTAAAACTACCATGCTTTGGCTTGATTGTTTAGTGGTGTTATCATTTAGAAGCCATGCTAGGTGTGGAGCAATTGCATATGGTTATTTCAGCATTCAGTGGCTACAACACTCCCCTGTAAGCACTGTATTTGCAGTCTCAACAGAAGAGAATGAGAGAGTAAGAGAGACATAATTATCCAGTACCTGGGTGGAACGTTAGGCAGATTACAATTCAGGTCTTACACTGCACTGACACTTCACCTGTGAAGAGATGGTAGCGTACTCTGAAACTATCAGAGTGCTCCCTTTTTTAAATAGGAGAATATCATTCACAGAAAAAGTGTAAGTGGAGAAACTCTGGTATTTTGAAGAAAGCGCTGTTTTAATCTCATCAGGACCTTAGATATAAAAGATTACCTATGACTTTTACAAAACAGAAACCATACGGACAGCAAAAACACCATTAGGACTTTAAATCTGTACTCACTAAACATTACTGATACTCTCCTGGCTAATCCTGGCATCCCACTACATTAGAAGTTTGTATCGAAAAGTAAAAATTGTAATAAAAATTCTCATGGTAGACCTTGAACATGTACATTCAGAAATTTAACTCATGGAAAGGCTGATAAGCTGTTTCTGCATTTAAACACAATGATATCAGTCATTCCAAAAAAAAAAAAAGGCTCCAAATAACATATACTATATGCTGTTCTGATCTAACCTCGCATTATATGCATCATTAACCTTTCTCCACTTATTTTTCTTTTTTCATCTTAGGACACGTGTAAAATCTGAAATTAGTAACCAGAAGCCTTTCTACAAGAATTTTCAATTTCTTCTAATTGTTAGCAGTTGATTCCAAGCTGTCTTGTCTTATACATGTATCCCTACACATGCCAACAATCTTGCACTCCAGTAGGACTTTATCACTACTGCAAGTGACCAGTATGCAAAGAGTGCTGAAGGGCAAAGCAACAACAGCAATGGGAACCAGAAAGAGAGGATAAAGGTTTGGTGGAAGAACCTGAGGTGAAGGATCCAGAAGGCTAGTTAAAGATATTTCACTTCCTTTTTGCATATTTGTTAACCCCACATGCTGGTATAGGTCTTGCCACTTGGAACTGTAGAGCTTCACAGATTGCCAAGAATGGCCAGTACAGTAAAACACAAAAACTTCTTCAGATAAAGAGAAAACAATTAGTACATGACAACATCAATTTGCAGAGAGTAAAAACACATGGACAAGAATAAGCAGCAGGCAACAGTCAGGCTTGACAAAACAAAAATAATTAGAGAAAAATCAGAAGAGCCTAAACTCCCCCGTGATGTGATTATTCTAATTAGAGAATGAGAGTAAGACAAACAATCAAGCTAATTAGGGCATAAAAGAATCTTGAAGGCTGAAAGCTCTAGAAAGAAAAAGTTGAAACCACATCCTGAAAAAATAGCATAGGTTATAAAAATGAAAATCATTCCTGAATTGGGAGCCTGATGTAAGCTCGTCTGTGCCTCTCATACTTCTGCAGAGACACTGTTGGTGCAATTTGCTCATCCACTTTGTCAAAAGATAACAGAGACCATCTGTGAGCAAAATCTAGGAAGGCCCAAACACCAAACGCACCCTCCTATTCAAGAAGGAAGTCTGTCATGTTCAAAAACCCTCTTAGCATCATTCTTGGTGTTCCTCAGCCCTGCAAGCAGCTGGCAATTGTGATACTGTGTAAATAAGGGGAAGAAGTGCGACCCATTTCAAAACCAAGGGTCAATATACACTTCAAATGTTTCTTCACAATCAAAAGAGCTAGAAATTTCAGTTATACCTACGTGCTAGAACAGAGTATTTCTACTGAGCAATTCAGCAGTTCACCAAGGAGCTGATCACCTAGCCAACTCATTAGCGCATTGTGGATAGTCTCCTTCTTAAGATAAGACTGTTCTGAATTTATACTCTGTGCAAGTAAGGAGCTGGTAAGCTGAACACCAGTTGTGTCCACTTTTCTTCTCTCTTGGTTCAGACTCAAAAGTAATTAGCATTCTATACATCAAATATGAAAAGAAACATGAAATAATTGCATTTACAAATATATAAATTTATGTGTAGATAGACCTTCAGATAAAAAATTAACATTCCCATTTTGTTTTCATTCAAAAGTGGTGAGAGAAAACTAAAACCAAAAGCTATGGGTAAAAAAAAAAGTATTTGACAAGGACTTCTTCAACGAGTTGCAAAGCATGGCTCGTGGAAAGATCCATGAAGAACTGAGACCAGAAAAAGAAGCAAATGCCTTGCTTCCTGTACAACCACATATATGAGCACATTCATTCTCACATTTTCTATAGCTGGGCATTTTTTTTCTAATTAAGAGAAATCTTTCAAACAGAAGATTGTGTTCTTAACCACCTGGCTACTGCTGTGACAGTCTTATATATCAATTTTGGCTTTCTCTGCAGGAGCATAGGTTTGCTCCGAGGAAGCCTGCCTTCTGAGCTGGTTACTTGCAGTCGAGGTCATACTTTCCCATCACTAATGTTTCAAGCAATTACAGTTTCCCACTGTCTCCACAGTAACCCAGACAAGGAACCATCATTGCAGGAGGGCTGTCCACATCCCAGATGATACTGCAGGTTCTTCCAAGTCATGGAGGTGTCCACAGACGAAGCTCCAGTTGCCTGACAGCAGCTGGAGAAGGATCTCACTCACAGCATTAAAAAACACAAGGGTCCAAAAGCAAGTCCTGGGCATCCATGAGGAAGATTCCACAACCTGTCGCTTTGCCACTGCTCCCATTACTTGCAGGTGACAACTTTCAAAGACTTCAGGGCACCTTGGATGAAGTTCAAAGAGAGAACTCGATTCCTGCCATTAAACACCAGACCTGCCCCGACCATCTTTTAAGGTGTTTCCTAATGTGTTATGTCAATTTAAACAGAAGGAAAAGAAGACTTTGTGGTAGAAAATGTAAGCAACCTTTCAATTCCAAATACACTACAGCAGAGGACACCCAAAGAAGTAAACATCCTACAAGAACCTGAGAAAGGAAAAGGCAATACTCTTCCTAGCTAGCTGGTAAATATTTAAAATGATCACTAGGTTTGGCTGGAATCTACCATTTATCGTTGTATTAAAAAGATTAATCTTGCCACATGATGCATTAAGTTTTCATTCCCTGTAATAAAAACCATGCATTTTAAACATCAGCTAATACAATGCTTCATCTGCCATACATTACGTCGTGCATGCAACTACCAGTAAAAGAGTTATTTCTATGACAACACAAAGCAATAATTCTCACTTTTACTGAAAGGATCTGGTCAGAATTGAAGAAGAGGTGAATATGGAAACATAGGTATTATGCAAAAACATCAGCAGTTCTGAACATAATTAATTGGAAAATTCACTGTTTAAAAAATTAAAAGTAGAATCCCTTCAGGAAAAAAAAAAGGGTAGTGTGTGTCCCTGAATCAGTAATCACTAAAACCATTTTAAATGTGAGGTTATCTCTTAAACAAAAGTCCATGAATACTACTGAGCCAAGAGATTATAACAAATACTATGTGAATTTAAGCAAATTTTCCTAGAGGAGAAAAAGGACAGAGTAAGAATATGAGAGATAATTAATCATACAGGAGACTAGTAACAACAGTAAGACTTCAATTTATCATTTCTATATTCTTACAGGCTAAAGTCTAATTTCAGAAGCATCATCTTCTGAATAGAAAACTTTTATACAAATCATATGTACTGAACTAATTACTCTTATCATGACTATAAAAAAGCACAGTGAAGAAATAAATTGAAAAACAGAGAGGGTTTTATAAATAAATAA